GTCGCTAGGTCGGGGAGGCCGGCGAGACTAAGCAGATTCTGGTGTACATTCCGTCTGCTAGTTCTCAACCTATCTAAGTGTGCCCTGTTGTAAATTCAGCCACTAGACTATTGATAGAGTAGATAGACTAAATGGGTACTGTTGTAAATTCCGCCCACTAGTTCGCTATATGTGGTGCTTGGGCAGCGTAGACTAACCGAATCCTGGTGTAAATAGTTCGATAGTTCTCAAGGTGCTGGCCAATTAGAATAGTTGGGATTATTGTAAATGTTGTTAAATATACTGTAGTTGGTGAATTAGTGAATTGTATGTCCTGCTAGAAAGCTTGAGCTCTGCTGTCTAGTGGGAGTGTAAATTGTGTGTATACTGTATAATAGCGCACGGTATTATAACCATTAACATGTACTGTAACTACTGACGTTGTGTAAAAATTACTAAAAACTGTTATCTTATGTTATATGTGTAACACCATAACTGTTACTAACTGATCTGTGACTTTAAAACTGTATTATAACCACTTGCTAACCGTACCATAAGAATGTAATATAATCGGTTAGTTAAAAGTTGATTTATAATGTGGATAATTGTAGGGTTTGATTTATAGTTACAGAGATAAGTATCTAGTGTTTGGTAAATCTTTGTGAGTGAGACGTCGTGATATCACTGTATGTACGAGAATTCGCTGTGTTTTTTTGTGTGTGTGTGTTTGGCCTAGCAACTGTGCCACGTGGTGCTGTTGCCTGGGAAACAAGTGTGATCGTTGGAAGTGTGTTTTTGGGTATTGTGTTTCTTTGTATTAGACGCTCCGTTGCCAGTATGGGTGCGTCTGACTCAAAGATTGTTGATCCCTTGTCGTGTATGTTGAACAACTTTGCAAAGGGATATAAAGTTTGTGATTTTGGGGTGAAATTATCCCTAAAGCGTTTGACTACATTATGTAGTAGAGAGTGGCCTATCTTGATGACCGCATGGCCTCCACGTGGTAGTCTTGATCTAACTCTGGTACAACGTGTGCACGCGGCTCTATCTGTTAGGCCTGAATTCTATGATCAGTTTCCGTATATTGATTGTTGGAAACAGATTGTGGGAGAATTGCCTAAATGGATTAAGGTATGCCACGAGGAGCAATGTCGCCTCATGGTGGCCGGGACTCGCCTATCCATCAGGGCCGCAAACCTGCCCATTTTAGACTCTCCCTCTGAGTCTGAACATCCCTCCCCACCCCCTTACTCCTCCTCCAAGGTTAGAGGAGGTGCTGCTGGTGTAGCCACTCCCCCTTCCCCATTGTCCCTGCCCACTCATTAATCTAGTTTAGAGCCCAGCCAACTTGCCCTGAGTCCTCCCCTTCCGGTACCTACCTCCACTAGTTCTATATATCCGGAATTAACGTCACTTCTGGTTCCTGGTCAGGCTCCTCCCAGCCTGGCCCGCAACATCCTGTTGACTGAACGTCCGCCCAGTAAAATTAACCCGCCTCATTCTCCTTACCTTACTACCCCTAGACCGGAACTTACTATAAAACAGCCTTGCCAAAGTCCTATATTTACTCGACAAATGACTGGTACTCTTCAACCCCGACATTACCAAATGCCCCTCCGACTTACACGGGACCGAAACACACGTTGACGAAAATGGCCAAATACAACGGGCAGATCCAGTGTTTGTCTATGTCCCCTTCACCACAACTGATCTATTCAATTGGAAGACTCATAACTCTTCGTATACCGACAAACCTCAAGTCATGACAGATTTGGTTACCTCCATTATACAAACATACAATCCCACCTGGGCTGATTGACAGCAATTATTATTAACTTTATTTAATTGTGAGGAAAGGACGCGGATTAATCAAGCGGCTAGTAAGACGCTTGAGGAAACGGCCCGTACTCAAAATCAGGCCAATCCAGCTGCATGGGCTGCAGCCCATTATCCAAATGTTGACCAAAATCGGAATGTGAATCGTACTGACATTTCCCAATTAAGGGCTTATCGGGAAGCCATTATTGCTGGCATGAAGGCAGGAGGGAAGAAGGCAATCAATATGTCAAAGACGGCTGAGGTGTTGCAAAAGGTTGATGAGTCGCCTAGTGGCTTTTATGAAAGATTATTGAGGTCATATAGATTGTATACTCCTCTTAATCCAGAGGCCCCTGAGAATTCTCAAATGATTAACTCAGCATTTGTCAGCCAGGCCCAAGGTGATATTAAAAGAAAATTGCAAAAGTTAGAGGGATTTGTAGGGATGTCCATATCACAGCTAATGGAGATCGCAAATAAAGCATATATGAATAGGGAAACTGAGATAAAGCGAGAGGAAGAACGTAAAATGAGGAAGAAGGCAGATATGCTAGCAGTAGCTATCACAAGTGTAGAAAGACAGGGAAGGGAGGTGAATAAAGGAGTCGAGAATAGGCTGAGTAAGGGACCTTTAAGTAGGAATCAATGTGCGTATTGTAGAGAGGAAGGACATTGGAAGAATGAGTGTCCACAGAGAGAGCATTATGAAAATAATAGACAAGGAGAGAGAAGAGTACGGGGAGGTTATAGTGGTAGTTATAGAGGAAGAGGATGTTTTGGAGGGAACGGTGGGAATAGTAGAGGGAGTGTTCAAGGAGATAGATATTATCCACCTACTCAGAGACCAAGAGATAGAGAGGATAGAGATTTTGTGGGTCTGGCTGACACTATAATGGAAGACTATTGATACCGACCGGGCTCCATCCCCCTTGGCCGAGCGGAGCCTATGGTCGATGTAGCAATAGGGGGAAAGAGAAGTTCTTTCATGATTGACACTGGTGCTGAACATTCCATGGTGACTAAACTGGTGGCTCCGCCTTCAGGAAAAACTATAACTGTGATAGGAGCTACTGGGAGAAGCGCAGCTAGACCGGTTCTTAAAAGTCGCACTTGCATTCTGAGAGGCCATTTGGTGAAGCACCAGTTCCTATATATGCCAGAGTGTCCGATTCAACTTTTAGGACGAGATCTATTATCGAAGCTTCAAGCCCAGATAACTTTTCTACCCAATGGATCAACGTCTCTGAGGTTTAATGGATTACCAGGCATAATGGCGGTATCGGTGCCAAGGGAAGAAGAATGGCGCTTCTACTCCATAATGACAAGTGTAAACCCTAAGAGTGATGAACCTTTATTTGACATTCCAGGAGTATGGGCAGAGGATAATCCACCTGGGCTTGCTCATAATATTCCACCTATACATATTGAACTAAAGCTTGGGGCCTATCCTGTGAGCCTACGTCAGTATCATTTACCTCAAAAGCATGGGCGTCCGCAGGGGGGGCAAGAGGGGACGCTTGCCCCCCCCTGGATTTTTCAGCTTGTGCTGCTATTTTTGGTTTGTGTGAGAATACACTGCAATACCAGCGCCGGCCAGTAGGTGGCGCTGTGAATGTTAAAAGGCAGGAAGCTACAGCTTATCCCTGCCTATCACTCATGACTGAAACCGCAGGGGAGCAGCACAGAGGCACCAACCTCAGCATTCTCCCCTCACCACCCACAGCATTACCCCCATCACCCCCTCCCTCAGCAGCTTTACCCCCTCTGTCACCATCACTCCCCCCCTCAGCATCACCCTCTCACTATCACCACCCTCAGCATCCCCCCATCACCACCCCCCCTCACTATCCCCCCTCTCACACCCTCATCATTAACCCCTCCCTCACCATCACCCTCCCTCAGCATCACCCCCCCTCATCACCCACAGCATTACCCCCATCACCCCCCCTCAGCAGCATTACCCCCTCTGTCACCATCACCCCTCACTCAGCATTACACCCCACACCATCTCCCCTCAGCATCACCCTCTCACTATCACCCCCACCACCCTCAGCATCACCCCCCTCACTCACCAGCATCCCCCCATCACCACCCTCAGCATTACCCCCCACTATCACCCCCCTCACCACACCCTCACTATCACCCCCACTCACACCCTCAGTACCACCTCCTCACCACCCTCAGCATCCCCATCACCACCCTCAGCATCAGCCCCCACCATCCCCCTCACTCAGCATTACACCCTCACCATCACTCCCTCAGCATCACCCTCTCACTATCACCCCCACCACCTCAGCATTACCCTCACTACCTCAGTATCCCATCACCACCAGGGCCGTCTTTAATAACGAATGGACCCTGGGCAAGTGTTTGCTTGGGCCCCTGTGCCCTGCCGCTCTCGCCCCTCACTCCCTGGTATGCAATCACGGCATCCATCCCAACGCAGTGGCGGTACTAAAGTAGAATGAATTTTATTGGGACCCCCAATTGCAAGGTTGGACTAAAGGTAGAACCCCATCTGTCGTGCAACTCCAACAATGCTTTGACAGCCGGGACTCTACCAATTTCCCATGCTTGCAGGGTTGTATTTAGCACTGAGCCATGTTAGTATGTTTGAATGTAAGCATGTGTTTGTATGGAGTATGTTTGTGTGAATGTGTTTGTATGTGCAAGTGTGCATTTATGTGTGGTGTTTGTTTTTGAATGTAGGAGTGTGCTTGTATGTAGTGTTGACGTTTCAATGCAGGAGTGTGTTTTAT